CCGTAGCTGCCCTAAATGTGCTCATATTGCTAGAGTACCCAAATCCAAATTAATGAAGAGTATCACTAAGTCACCAACAACCTTCATGGGGCCATCGAGAGGCAGAGGGGTGGAAAGACTGGAAAACAGATGGAAATCACAGATCACTGGCATGGACAATGATTATTGGCCAAAAAAAAAAAAAAAGGAAAAACAACAACAAAAAAACTTTTAAATACAAAAAAAAGGTGTTCTGTGAACCCTATGAAAGAACTAACTGTGGCCAGGTATGGTGGTATACACCTGTAATCTCTGCACTCAGGGAGACTCATAGACAAGAGGATTGCAAGTTTTCTTGATGCTAGTCTGAGCTACCTAGCCATAATCTTGTCTCTAAAGGAACAAAAACAAAAACTGAGAGTATGGCCACCAGAGGGCGCTGGAAGCTCAGTAAGGACAGGGCCATCACGATGCGCTCTTGGCAGGATCACTGGGCAGGTTGAACACGGTGGTGGGTTAGACCCAAGGGTCTGCCTTTTACCACAGCCTTCCATGACCCCAGCTTACATCTTCCTGGGGAAAATGGAGAATTACATTAAATACATTATGCTAGAAATATTGGAACTGGTAAATGACAGATTCCCTAGCTTCTGACAGGCTCCTTCCTCAATCTTTTCCTGTTCAGTATTTTTATCATGTCTTTTTTCACTTTATACAGGGCGTGGGCAGCATCTGTGTGGATGACAGTCATCCACACAGCACATAGCAAACCCACTAGGTTCCAGAATCAGTACATAAAATACATTTCAACAAACCAAAAAGTTATTTTTTGTTTTTTGTTTGCCAGTCCTGGGGCTTGAACTCTGGGCCTGGGCACTGTCCCTGAGCCTCTTTGTGCTCAAGGCTAGTGCTCTACCACTTGAGCCACAGTGCCACCTCAAGCTTTTTTAGAGATAAGAATCTCACGAGGACTTTTCTGCCCAGGCTGGCATCGAACCGCAATCCTCAGATCTCAGCCTCCTAAGTAGCTAGGATTACAGGTGTGAGCCACTGGCAACCAACTACTAAAAAGATTCTAACAGGAGTGAGCAAGTCTTTCATCTATCCCAGGCCCCATGCTCTCCTTCCACCTCCTGTGCCAGTACTGAGGCTTGAAGTCAGGTCTTCACATCTAGCTTGGCTTTTTTGCTCAAAGCTGGTGCTTTACCACTTGACTCACAGCTCTGCTTCTGTCTCTTTGGTGTTTAATTGGAAGTAAGAGTCTTTTGGATTTGTCTGCCTGGGCTTGTTTAAAATCTTGATTTTCAGACCTCAGCCTCTTGAGTATTAGGATTATGGGAATAAGCCACTAATGCTGTATCTTTTTATGTTCTAGGCCCGTCGCTTTTCCTGGGTCTTAAAGTCCATTTTCCTTGTTCTCTTCCTCTTCCTCCCCAAGACTTCCTTTCATTAATTACTGTTCCTGTAACTTCAACATTTCTCTCTATTAGCTCCTTTCTAGTGAGAAAAGAGAAAGGAAAAAGAAAGAAGGAAAGGGTGGGGAGAGGGAGGGAGAGACAGAAAGAGAGAGGAAGAAAAGAAGGAAGAAAGGAAAGAAGGAAGGAAGGACTGTTGTTTTGGGTTTTTGGGTTTTTTTAGGGGATGGGAATTGGGGATTGAACTCAGCTTGAACTCAGGACCTGGGCATTGTGCCTTAACCTTTTTTTTTTTTTTTACTGTTGTTTACCTTTTTTATTTTTAAGAGCTAGGGCTCTCCCATTTGAATCATAGCTCCACTTCTGGCTTTTTGGTGGTTAATTGGAGATAAAAGTTTTATGGACTTTATGTCTGGGCTGGTTGCCAATCATGAACCTCAGATCTCAGCCTGAGGAGTAGCAAGGATTATAGTGTTGAGTCATCAAGGCCCTGTAAAATTGAACTTTTTTTTTTGGCAGTCTGGGCTTGGACTCTGGGCCTAGGCACTGTCCCTGAGCTTCATTTGCTAAAGGCTAGCACTCTACCACTTGAGCCACAGTGCCACTTGCAGCCTTTTCTGTTTATGTGGTACTGAGGAATCGAACCCAGGGCTTCATGCATGCAAGGCAAGCACTCTACCACTAAGCCACATTCCCAGCCTACAAGAACCCACAATCAAATTTTTGAAAAGCCTAGGCTCTGAAGCAGAGTCTGGTGTAGAATTGGAAATGCAAAATGCTGGATGGAAATCAAGACCTGAGAAGTAAGAATGAAGAAGCAGGACCAGGCAGAGGGAGAAGATGAGCTTGGGGCGTGTGGGGGGGTGGGGGGTGGGCAGCCACACCTCCCATCCCTCTGTAGGGAGCTCGAAGCAGCAGAGCAAATCCAGTTGAACTGGCCCTGCTCAGTCAGTCCCCACATGGGAATTCCCAGAGAAAGGCCCAGACAGCACTACAGACCCTGAAGAAGCGGATGGATGGAAGCTGTCGGCTAATTGCTCTTCTCATAGTTGGGCAACAGGATTGATTTTTGCTGTACTAGGGGTTGAACTCAGGGTCTGGATGCTATCCTTGAGCTTTTTCACCAGAACTCTACCACTTGAACCATACCTCTACTTCTGGCTTCTTTTATTTTTTTGTCGGTCGTGGGGCTTGAACTCTGGGCCTGGGCGCTGTCCCTCAGCTCTTCAGCTCAAGGCGAGCGCTCTACCACTTGAGCTACAGTGCCACTTCCGGTTTTCTGGTGGTTTATTGGAGATAGGAGACTCACGGTCTCTCCTGCCTGGGCTGGCTTTGAACCGCGATTCTCAGATCTCAGCCTCCTGAGTAGCTAGGATTACAGGCGTGAGCCACCAGCGCCCGGCCATACTTCTGGCTTCTTGGTGGTTAATTGGAAATAAGAGTCTCATGCTTTCCTGTCCAGGTTGATTGGACCTCTATCTTCAGATCTTACCTTCCTGAGTTGCTAGGATCCTGAGCAGCTAGGATTATAGGTGTGAGCCACTAGGCCCCGCTAAATCCATTATTCTTATTGCATATTAGAAACTGTGGTCGCCAATCAGGGCTGACCTCTGTCTGTCTGTCTTTCTGAAGTCTCAACTCCCTTAGTTTCCACAGTAACCCTCCTCTCTGACCCTTCTTATCCTAACTCTGCTTTCCTGGCCTCTTGTAGGAATCATTTCTTCCACGTTATTACTTAATTGTTCAAACTTCATCCTCAGTCCATTTCCTCTTCCTCTATGCTTGCCAGGGTGACATCATCAGTTAATTCTTTTTTTTTTTTTTTTTGCCTGTCCTGGGGCTTGAATCAGGGCCTGGGCATTATCCGTGAGTCTCTTTGTGCTCAAAGCTAGCCTTCTACCACTTAAACCACAGCACCACCTCTGGCTTTTTTGAGTAGTTTATAGGAGATAAGGGTCTGATGAGGACTTTTCTGCTTGCTTCAAACCACAAGCCTCAGATCTCAGTCTCCTGAGTAGCTAGGATTACAGACATGAGCCTGGCTCTCCCATTTCTAGAATAGCTCTGAAACCTACTCTAGCCCACTCCTGATTGGCCTATCTGACTGATGACGGACATCTCCATGCTATTGCAGGAAGTTCTACTTCCCTTTCTTACCACTTTCCCATCTTAAAGGCCAACTCTTTTTTTTGGGGGGGGGGGAGGTGATGGGGTCATTCATGGGGCTTGAACTTGGGGCATTGGGTGCAGTCCCTGAGCTTTTTCACTCAAGGCTAGCAATCTACCACTTTGTGCCTCAGCACCACTTCCAGTTTTCTGGTGGTTAATTGGAGATAAGAGTCTCTCAGACTTCCCTGCCTGGGCTGACTTTGAATGGCAATCCTCAGATCTCAGCCTCCTTCACAGGTAGGATTACAGGTATGAGCCACTAGCACCCAGCTTGAAGGCCAACTCTTACAGTGCCAGAATGGAGGGACCCTTTTGAGGCTGCTCCATGGAACAGTGCCATTTCTAGGCCACTCACCGGGTCTGCTCCTGTTGGAGCTTGTGTACAAAAGCCTTGTGAACAGTCCCAGGACTCTATGCCTGGAGACTCGCATTAGTGATGGATAAATGCCCGGTACTGGGATGCTGAGGCCCACAGAACAGTCATCCCTGCTCACACCCACTACTTGCCTGGCCAGGTGGGAACCTCTGACTCAGTGGGTGCCCAGGAAAGAGTCATTCAGAATTTCCTCATTGCAGGTGATGAGAGGCGGTAGGGATTTATTTTGTTTGAGTAGGTGGATTTTAGCCACACCTTTTACTAACAGGCCTACACCTGCCTGGCAGAGGCCTACCTAGGGCAGATCTCGAGGAAAATGATCTCCATTTTATTTAACTGTATTGTTTTAGGTATACCTATGCCCTCTCTTTCTAAATTGGGATTCTTTTCTAGTTGCCTTCCTTGAATAATATTGAGCCAAGTGCATTGTGCCAAGGGCAGCGCAGAGTACAGTTTCTGCCTTAAGGATGGCAAAAGAATGGTATAAGAGCTAAGTCTAATGCAAACTTGTTTCAGTGTGTTGACACTTAGCAACTAAGTGTTGTGGCTCCTAGGGAAGAAAAAATGTCTCCAGCCAGGCCTACTTCATAAAAGCTTCTGAGATAGAAGAGATCAGCTTCTTAGAAGTGAGCCTAACACAGAAATAAGGCAGAAGTAATCACACATAGAGGCTCTAGTGGCTCATGCCTGTAATCCTAGCAACTCAGGAGGCTGAGAGTTGAGGATCCTGGTTCAAAGCCTAGGCAGAGAAGTCCAAGATACTGTTATCTCCAATTAACCAGATATAAAAAACCTGGAAGTAAAACTGGATCAAGTGATAGAGCACTTGAGCAACAAAAAGCTAAGCAATAGTGCTCTGGCCGTGAGTTTAAGCCCCAGCACACACACACACACACACACATACACACACACACACACACAAGACATGCCTGGGGTAGAGAGGAAAGAATGGCCAATAGCAAAAGGCTGTTGGAAGAATGTCCTCAGCAAGTGGAGGTCAGGCAAGATGGGCCTGGGGACATAGGAGGTTCATGGTATGTAGTAGGAAAAGGGGAAGCCACAAGGTGTGACAATGACAGTCTGGACACCACAACCCCCCAGTGCCACAGCTCATACAATTTGGGTCAAAGAGATAGCCAGGCCTTTATGGTCATCAAAGCGATCCATGGTCTTGAGGCTGAGTATCATGTGCAGGCCGTAGGTAAAGATGAGCACCATGATGAGAGAGGTGAGCAGCCCCATCCAGATCGCCGGGGAGAAGAAGCCGGCACAGTCGCTGGCATAGGAGAACCGTTGGCCTGTCACATTAAAAGCCTGGATCTGGAAGTCCTTCAGAGTCACCTGCCAGAGGGAGGGCTCCTTGGCCGCCACCAGGAGGCTGCCATACTTCCGGAGACTGCTGACATAGCCACAATGGAAAGAGTAGAGGCTGGGCCCTGTGACCTGGGAAGCGTTGAAGTGGGTGGCAGAGTCGTTGGTGTGGATTTCCAGGCGCTCCATGGCAAACCAGCGGCGGGCAGACACTGGGTAGAAGCGGGGGGTCACGTGACATGAGTCATGTGATGGGGATCACGTGACGGCAGTCGGGAGACTAGGCGTTGTCGCGTGATTTGGAGGGGGCCGTGCGAAGCCTTGAGCTGTCATGGCAGTGGCGGCGGCGGCGGGGGTGCGCCAGCAGACGAGGCCCTGGTGGGCTCCGGTGATCTGGCGGATGCCGTGGCTGCCGCTGTTGCTGGCGGCGGCCGGGTTGGTGCGGGCGGCGCCCCACGTGCCGCTGGTGCTGTGGTCCAGCGATGGCGCCCGCTGGGCCCCCGCAGCCCGCACGCACGAGGGCCACGTCGCCAGCCGCACCCAGCTGCCCGCCTTCCTGGCCCCGGCCCTGGAGCAGGGGCCCCGCACCGTGCTGCTGCTCCTGCGGGACCAGCTGAGCCTGGAGGACTTCACGGCTCACGGGGACGCGTTCGTCCATCTGCAGCGGGCCTTGGCGCTCGCCCCGGCCTCCCTGGTCCTCCCCGCGGTTGAGTGCTCCGCCGTCAGCGCGCTCACCGCCCACCTGCGGGACAAGCTGGGGGCCAGGCCCCTGCCCCCGGACCCGGACGCCCTCCGGGGGCTGAAGCGCGATGCCAGCCGCCCTGCCCTGCTGCTCCTCCGCCTGCCCCGGCCGGCCGGCGCCCGTCCCCTGGCGCCCAGGGACGTCCTCAGGCGCAGTGATGAGGCCATCGGGCGGGTGCTGGCCGCGCTCCGATCTGAAGATGTCCCTTACACCGCCGTCCTCACCGCAGTCCGCCCCTCCGGGGTGACCCCCGACGGAGCCGTGCTGGCTGGTGGCTTCGGGCGCCAGCTGCTTCAGACGCAGCCTGCGGAGCCGGTGGTGATCCATCCTCCGGTGACTTTCAACGACACGGTCCCGCGCATCCTGTTCTGGGCCCAGAACTTCTCTGTGGCCTACAAGGACCATTGGGAAGACCTGACCGCGTTCACCTTTGGGGTGCAGAAGCTCAACCTGACGGGCTCCTTCTGGAATGCCTCCATTGCTGGTCTCTCCCTGACCTACCCACAGCTCTTCGGTACCACGGTGACATTCAAGTTCATCCTGACCAACCGCTTCTACCCAGTGTCTGCCCGCCGCTGGTTTGCCATGGAGCGCCTGGAAATCCACACCAACGACTCTGCCACCCACTTCAACGCTTCCCAGGTCACAGGGCCCAGCCTCTACTCTTTCCATTGTGGCTATGTCAGCAGTCTCCGGAAGTATGGCAGCCTCCTGGTGGCGGCCAAGGAGCCCTCCCTCTGGCAGGTGACTCTGAAGGACTTCCAGATCCAGGCTTTTAATGTGACAGGCCAACGGTTCTCCTATGCCAGCGACTGTGCCGGCTTCTTCTCCCCGGCGATCTGGATGGGGCTGCTCACCTCTCTCATCATGGTGCTCATCTTTACCTACGGCCTGCACATGATACTCATCCTCAAGACCATGGATCGCTTTGATGATCATAAAGGCCTGGCTATCTCTTTGACCCAAATTGTATGAGCTGTGGCCCTGAGGGTTTGAGGTATCCAGGCTTCCCCTTTTACGTACCATGAACCCCCTATGTCCCTCCGCCTGTCTTCCCCTGGCTTCCACTTGCTGAGGGTCTTCCCTAAGCTGTCCCACCATTCCTATCTAGATGTACATATCCTGCATAGATATTAACTCTCTGACAAGCCATAAGTGTAGGGGTTAGTAGATCTGGGATCTCCCTTCTTATTTATGTCTGTCCGCCAGCATTCCTTATATTGGAAGTACTTATTCCTTGCATTATAGCACATGCTCCCCTCAGAAACATTCTAGGACTTGGCAGCAGCCAGAAGCTTCAGGTCATATGAGTTAGAGAAGTATGTGGAAATACCATTTCACTGTCTGACCAGCTCTGCTAGCATCGTGCTTTTTATTTTTGTGATGTGATAAGAATAAACAGTATACCCAGATTTCTTTCTGTGGCCTAAAAAAGGGACCTTCACGGTAGGCGGGCCGGGTGTGTTCACTGGGTCTCTGTCATGTTGCCGGTAGAAGTACCCGTCAGGAGCTTGGGTGCTCTGTTATTATTCCCTTCCTCATAAAACCAGGTCACATGAAAGAGAGAAAGAGAGGAAGATGGAGGAGAATTCAATTATAGTATTCAATGTATATATATCAAAATGGAACTAGGAAATTTGAGGGGATGGAGAGTACAATAAAAGGGATGATATTGACCGAGACACATCATAATTATAAACTGGCATGTTGAGTGGTAATCTCTTTGTACAACTACTTTTAAAAATATATAATTTAAGACCAGGCGCTGGTGGCTCACACCTATAATCGTAGCTATTCAGGAAACTGAGATCTGAGGATCTTGGTTCAAAGCTAGCCGGAGCAGGAAAGTCCATCAGACTCATTTCCAATTACTCACAAAAAATCTGGAAATGGAGTTGAGGCTCAAGTGGTAGAATACTAGCCTTGAGCAAGAAATGAGCTCAGGGGCTGGGAAGGTGGCTCAGTGGTAGAGCACTTGCCTTGCATGCTCGAGGCCCTGGGTTTGATTCCTCAGCACCACATAAAAAAAAAAAGGCGGAAATGGCGCTGTGGCTCAAGTGGTAGAGCACTAGCCTTGAGCTGAAGAGCTGAGGGACAGCGCTCAGGCACAGAGTTCAGGCCCCATGACCGGACTCAAAAAAAAAAAAGAAAAAAAAAGAAATGAGCTCAGGGACATAGCCAAGCCCCAGGTCTGGCAAAAAATAAATAAAATTATATATATATAGAGATAGATTAATTATATATTTATAAAGTATAAATAAATTATATATAATTAATTTAACAATTTAGATAATAATATATTAAGGTAATTGATATGTATTAAGTATATGTATAAGGAGAAAAGGCATGTTTAGTGAAAGAAGTCAGACTAATAGAAGTAGATCCTAAATCCCTATGTATGAAGTTCAAGAACAGTCAAAACTAATTTACAGTAATAAAAGATGAGTAGTTGCCCTGGATGTTATGGTTGGAAATGGGCACCCAGAAACTGTAGATGAGATGAAATGTTCTTTCTCTTCATTTGCATGTTGACATCTTAGGTTTATACACATGTCAAAACTCAATGAAACGGGATGGGAAGGTGGCTCAGTGGTAGAGTGCTTGCCTTGCATGCATGAGGCCCTGGGTTTGATTCCTCAGCACCACATAAACAGAAGGGGGAAAAAAAAGCCGGAAGTGGGAAAAAAGCTGGAAGTGGCACCGTGGCTCAAGTTGTAGCCTTGAGCTGAAGAGCTGAGGGACAGCACCCAGGCCCAGAGTTCAAGCCCCACGACCGGACAAAAAAAAACACACACACACAAAAAAAAAAAAAAAAAAAAACTCAGTGAATAGTACACTTATGATCTTTGCATTTTCTGTACCTAAATGAGACCAAAATAGAACCGATCAAAAGGCAAACCAAGCCAGGCGTCATTGGCTCACACCTGTAATCCTAGCTACTCAGGAGGCTGGGATCTGAGGATCGTGGCTCAAAGCCAGCAGGGGCAGAAATGTCCGTGAGACTCTTATCTCCAATTTTAAAACCACCAGAAAACCAGAAGTGGTGCTGTGGCTCAAGCGGTAAAGCGTTCGCCTTGAGCTGAAGAGCACAGGGACAGCGCCCAAGCCCAGAGTTCAAGCCCCACAACCAACAAAACATAAAAAAAATTAAAAAAATTAAAGTACAAGCACCTCTGTGGTTCTTTACTAGATATTGATTTTGACAAACCAAATATTAAAAAAAACATAATTAGGACATTTGGGAAATTTTCATTGTGTTCAAGTATTGACCTGTAAAGGCCAAGATATCCAGCTTCAAGATATACTATAAAATGCTTTGTACAGAATGACCTTGTATAGTTTAAAATATTACTTATATGTATGTATTCATAGGAAAAATGGAAGGGAATTATGATCTGGTATGCTATGGTAATCTCTGTGCTAAGAGAATGTCATGGTTTTCTTTTGTGATTTACCCACCTGTCTTCTAATCTTACACAACGCACAACAGTGCTTTTATAACAGAAGCTTACACGAATACCTGGAATTTACAGGTATTTTTTTTTCTTTTTTCTTTTTGGCCAAATATCACCAACGATGCTTTTGGTTGGTCATGGGGCTGGAATTCAGAGCCTAGGTGCTGTGCTGTTCCTGAACTTTTTTGCTCAAGGTTAGTGCTCTACCATTTTCAGCCACAGCTCCACTTCCAATTTTCTGGTGGTTAATTGGGGATAGGTCTCACAAATTTTCCTGCCTGGGCTGGTTTTGAACCTTGATCCTCAGATCTCAGCCTCCTCAGTAGCTAGGATTAAAAGCATGAGCCACCAGCGCCCAGCTGCCATTTATTTTTTTCTGAGTGTGAATTCAATTTAAAAGTCTGGTAAGCAAAACCAGGCATCAAACATACATAGTAAAGTCACCGCCATTAAACCCTTACCGCATCAGTCCCTGTGTTTTGTGACAACTTCACTAGAAAAGGGAAAACACTATACCCAATTGCCGGTGAGGAGGAATTGTCTACAGAGTCACCAAACTAGCCAAAGGCTAACCATGGCTCCAGATTCTTCAATCACTTACCATATTAGTCCTACATGTGTGTTATTTCCCACATTCTCACAACACTGTTGTGAGACTGGAATTGCTCCTCTGGAGAACTAAAGCATAGAATTGGAATCACTTCCTCAGCATTAGTAACTTGCCTAGCTAGCTAGTGGTTGAACCAGGACATGAAAGCAGCTGCATCCACCACAGACCAGCAAACGCTTCATTGCATCACAAGCTTTATCTGCAGGATGCAGTCCCTTCATGTTAAGCTCTAGCCAAGACCATAACTCTAGGCTTCTATCTCGCACAGCCTAGAAAATGTCCTGATAAGAAAACTGATATTTATGAAGGCTTATTTGAATGAAATGAGCTCATCCATTTCTTTAGAATCTAGGGCTAAAGCCTGGTCATCAGAATCTTGCAAGTTCAAAACGTATTATCTTAGCTTGCTACAAAATTGCTTTCCTGGAAATTCAGCATTCTGTCCCTGGGACTTATTGAAGGGTAAGTCCAAAAGGTAAGCAAAAACACATAAATTCCCTATATGTGTTTGCAAGTAAAGAAGTCAGTAGGAAGTACTGAAACTAATTATGCATGAGGCACAGATCCACAGATCCAATGATGGCTATAGTTTCACACTAGGTTCTGAATAAAACTGAGCTCCTTGGGGAATTTTCTCAGCATTTCTTCTAATTTTAAAAACACTTATATAGTGTTTACTTCATTCTCAGTGTTACCAACTCAAATATCTCTGAGGTGCTGTGGGTCAAAGTGGTAGAGCACTAGCCTTGAGCAAAAAGAGCTCAGGGACAGTGCTCAGGCCCCGAGTTCAAGCTCTATGACAGATAAAAAAAAAAAAAGTGGGTAGGAAAGAGCAATTACTGCCCCTTAATTGTTCACAGGGTCCAGATCAGATGTAACTTTTTTTTTACTTTATTTTTTCCACCATGGCTGTGGGTGGCTCTGAGATCCCACCGTTACCCAGCTCCCCAAGGAAGCCAATACTCAGTGAGAAAAAGATGGCAGGGGTATTGATCCAACTCTTCTGGTTGGGAAGAGCATCCAACTTCCCAGCTGTTCTAGGTGTATCTAAGAACACTCTAGCCTTTGTTCTTAAATGAAGGAAATGATAGACCCAGGATACCAGGAATGTTCTGGTTGGGGCGTCCTCCCAGGTGAGCTTGGCAGAAAAAGTTTCCTACTTTGCTTTACAAAGGCCCTTTAAAAAAAAAAAAGAAAACTGATGTGGGGGGAAGTGTAGTTGGGGAGATGGGAGGGAAGGGATGGGAGGGAAAAAACAAAGGAGGAGGCAACTATGCCTGATAAGAAATGTGCTCATGGGCTGGGAAGGTGGCTCAGTGGTAGAGTGCTTGCCTTGCAAGCCGGAGGCCCTGGGTTCGGTTCCTCAGCACCACATAAGAAAAAAGCCGGAAGTGGCGCTGTGGCTTGAGTGGTAGAGTGCTAGCCTTGAGCTGAAGAGCTGAGAGACAGCGCCCAGGCCCAGAGTTCAAGCCCCACGACCGGAAAAAAAAAAAAAAAAAAGAAATGTGCTCATTACCTTGCTCAACGTAATTATAACCCCTCTGGACAGTATTTTCACAATAAAAAACTTAATTAAAAAAAGAAAACTGAAGAAGAATAAGGGATGTTGGTAACATTAGAGTTGATAAGGAGTTAGGATTTTTATTTTTTGAGTCAGTACTGGGACCTGAACTCAGGAACTGGGTACTGTTCTTTGGTCTTCTTGCTCAAAGCTGGTGCTCTACCACTTGAGCCACACCTCTACTTCCAGCTTTTGGGTACTTAATTGGAGATAAGGGTCTCAGAAATTTTCCTAGCCAGGCTGGCTTTGACAGAAATCCTGGCTTCAAGCCTCTTGAGTAGCTAGGATTCCAGGTGTGGGCCATTGGTGCCTGGCTTTTTTTTTTTTTTTTTTTTTTTAGATAGGAAAGCAATTGCCTCCTTAAGA